TCCCACATCTTAGTCTAGGTCGCCACATTACCCACAAAAGAAACAGTCTCCCTCATGACATCTCTTAGTAGAGCAGCTGCGGGCACATTTGCTACTTACGCTGCACTCTGATATTCCCCGAGGGCCCTAGTTTAAGGACTAGCGGCTTATCTTTCGATGTTGCCATTCCATGCTTCCTGCTGAACCTATTTTTAAATAAAGGCCTTTTAAAAATCATCTCACTATACAGTCTTAGAATAGCTTGAGGGAAAGCTAGACTGATTATATAGTTTCATGTACAATTACATACTAATTATGTTATTTAAGAACAGTTAAAAGCAAATTGTGCCTCATTAACAGTTACTTTGAATAGTTTATATTTGCATTTTGAAAAAGCTGTATCCTATTTCTAGGGAAATGTTCAGATAGCTATATTAAAATATACAAAAGCCCTACCATTATAAATGTATATCTACAACTTAATTACATATTGTTTCAATAGGTTTTAATCATGCATGGTGGAATTGTGTTTTAAAATCTTTATGCCTTTTTGCTTGCCTTTTTCAGATCAGTGCTAGAATAATTTTAATAACTTCTGTACAAGGGATTGTGAAACAAATCCAATTAAACCTAATACGAATGAATTAGTCTTTTGCTGTGAGGCTATTTGGGTACATCTACACAACAGAATTATTCTGAAATAACTAACATTATTTTGAAATAACATAGTGCACTGCAAGATGGAGGATTGCTTACTCCGACTCCTGTAACCCTCATTTCACAAGGAGTGAGGGAAGTTGAAGGAAGAGTATTCTTCCTTTGACTTCCTGCTGTGTAGGCAGCGCCTAAAGCCGAATTACACTATTTCGACTTCAGCTATGCAATTGACCTAGCTGAAGTTGTGTATCTTAATCTGACCTTTGGTCTTCAGTGTAGGCGTGCCCCTTCAGTTCTACCAATTCCTGACCTAAGTACAGCACAAGTTAACTAAGCAGCACGCCTATCATAGCTTTCCTTTTGTAATCTTATGTTTTCCACCTGGCTTGTTTTTTTCTAAATGTTATTACTTATGTTTATTTAAACTATCATGACTTTAAAGTGGAGGTCTCAAACCACATTTTTGCATAACAGCAATGTTCATCCTATTTGTGTGTGTATGGAGCAATGTAATTTATTTATATAGTTCCCTGCTCAGTTTTGAAGATACTTAACAGGGACCAAAATCTTGAAGGAGCAGTTGCATTTTCCCGTGGTGGTGGCCGCAGAACTCACTTTCTATTGGTGGTATACAGTTGCGTAGATACTCTCATAGAGCTCTGGTGTAAATGACAAACAGGTTCATGGCAATGGAGAATCAGGCTCAGCATTTGCTACTTCTGTCCCATAATACAAGAACCAAAATGGTACTTGATGAAATTAAAGCACAACAAGTTTAGATTGGGCATAATGGCTATACAGGGTGTCTCCACTATAAGCTGCCCCAGTAGATGTTGGTTCTGCACTAGCGTAATTGACACTTGTGGGAAGTGTTCCATTCTAAGTCCTCCCATTACCCACTCTTGCGTCACGCAAAAAAAAGAGACCAATTTGCAGGAGGAGAAGTACGTTGCGGGGAAAAAGTTCCCCACTTTACAGACTTTTACTATACTTCCACGGGTATTTTTAATGTATCTTGGAAATATAGGGGGGATGCCCTGTGGGTCTGGCCCACGAAAGCTCATCATCTAATAAACCATCTTGTTAGTCTTTAAAGTGCTACATAGTCCTGTATTTTGCTTCTGTACACAATGTAGAATTAAACTGAAACTCTGTAGTGTTGTAACAGAATATTTAAAAAATTAGATAGTTTATAAATAGGAATGGCACCTACAGGTATAGGTTAGAGTATCAAATCTAAGAGCTCTCAGTGAAACAAGGCATAAGCAGGTCACTAGTTAGGTTCAAGCAGAAATGTTTATTTCATGGAATAGATTCTGCAGTTAAATGAAAACACAATAGCACATCCTTCTGTGAACTTCTGCCATAGGTCACTGAAGGATAATGGATGAGATGGACAATTGATCTGTTACTGTATGATAATGCCTATGTGCATCCTAGAATACTCAAGAAGCTGATAGAGGAGGTATCTGAGCCTCTAGCTATCATCTCTGGAAAGTCATGGGAGACAGGAGAGATTCCAGAAGACTGGAAAAGGGCAAATATAGTGCCCATTTATAAAAAGGGAAATAAGAACAACCCAGGAAACTACAGACCAGTTAGTTTAACTTCTGTGCCAGGGCAGATAATGGAGTAGGTAATTAAGGAAATAATCTGTAAACACTTGGAAGGTGGCAAGATGATAGGGAACAGCCAGCATGGATTTGTAAAGAAGAAATCATGTCAAACCAATCTGATAGCTTTCTTTGATAGGATAACGAGTCTTGTGGATAAGGGAGAAGCGGTGGATGTGGTATATCTAGACTTTAGTAAGGCGTTTGATATGGTCTCGCATGGTATTCTTATCAATAAACTAGGTAAATACAACTTAGGTGGGTGCGTAACTGGCTGGATAACCGTACTCAGTAGTTATTAATGGTTCACAATCCTGCTGGAAAGGTATAACAAGTGGGGTTCCGCAAGGGTCTGTTTTGAGACTGGCTGTCTTCAATATCTTCATCAATGATTTAGATATTGGCATAGAAAGTACGCTTATTAAGTTTGCAGATTATATCAAGCTGGGAGGAGTTGCGACTGCTTTGGAGGATAGGGTCATAATTCAAAATGATCTGGACAAACTGGAGAAATGGTCTGAGGTTAACAGGATGAAGTTTAACAAAGAGAAATACAAAGTGCTGTACTTAGGAAGGAACAATCAGTTTCACACATACAGAATGGGAAGCGACTGTCTAGGAAGGAGTACGGCAGAAAGGGATCTAGGGGTTATAGTGGACCACAAGCTGAATATGAGTCAGCAGTGTGATGCTGTTGCAAAACAAGCAAACATGATTCTGGGATGCATTAACAGCAGTGTTGTAAGCAAGACACGAGAAGTCATTCTTCCACTCTACTCTGCACTAGTTAGCCCTCAGTTGGAGTATTGTGTCCAGTTCTGGGCACTGCATTTCAAGAAGGATGTGGAGAAATTGGAGAGGGTCCAGAGAAGAGCAACAAGAATGATTAAAGGTCTAGAGAACATGACCTATGAAGGAAGGCTGAAAGAACTGGGTTTGTTTAGTTTAGAAAAGAGAAGATTGAGGAGGGACATGATAGCAGTTTTCAGGTATCTAAAAGGGTGTCATAAGGAGGAGGGAGAAAACTTGTTCATCTTGGCCTCTGAGGCTAGAACAAGAAGCAATGGGCTTAAACTGCAGCAAGGGAGGTTTAAGTTGGACATTAGGAAAAAGTTCCTAACTGTCAGAGTAGTCAAACACTGGAATAAATTGCCCAGGGAGGTTGTGGAATCTCCATCTCTGGAGATATTTAAGAGCAGGTTAGATAAATGTCTATCAGGGATGATCTAGACAGTATTTGGCCCTGCCATGAGGGCAGTGGACTGGACTCGATGACCTCTCGAGGTCCCTTCCAGTCCTAGTATTCTATGATTCACAGTGTACACAGCATAGAATGTCCTTTTACAAACTGTACCCTGGATGTACTGCAACTTTGGTAAAATTCAACTTGTGCTTTTCTTGTGTTCAAGAGATGATCCTCATCCATGAACCAGTTTGACTAGCTGGGCTGAGTACAGGAGAGTCACGTGGGAGAAAGGGGAGCTTGTCCATGTCATAAGTCTGCAGAGATACTCAGGGGAGGCTACTTCAGCCCTCTTTAGACAAGGGGAGTGGAGTATACACACAGAAAACCAATCCTGTTCCCAGCCCCCCCAGAGCCTCTTCAGTTCCTCATGCAAGAGCTATGGCCCTTAGAATACACCTCCCTGTCTGGAACAGTGGGACTGCACACGCAGTGGCCTGATTCATCCCTCGCAGAACATGACACATTAATAGTCAGGGAACTGCTTTTAAAACCTACTGACAAAACATTTAATAAATCTATACAGCTACTACAGCTTCCTTGAGAAAAGAGCACTAGTCTCCTCCCACCCCTGAGACATTTCAGTACTTCCCACTGAAAATGAAGTTAATGGCAAAATCAGGGAAAGGTCAAGTTATGTATAAAAATATCCCCCAACTCTCCGCTCCCACTGTAGAGAGAACATGGATAACTCTCTAACCAGCAATTATTTCCCTCATTTTTAGATATTTGCATGCATAGAATTGATGCACTATTTGATTTCCAGAGCCTATTGTGATTGCAAACTAAATTCATTTAATTAACTGACATTTCACAGATAATTTCACACTAGTCTGAGTTCACCCAAAACCCTTGGAAATGTGAACTACATTTATCTTTTATGAAAAGCTCAGTTCAGTTGAAGCCATGATTCTTTTATTTCTCTTTGAAGTTGTTTCACAAAACAGACCATGGAGTTATGACTGAAATGATCAGAGCATTTTTGTTAATGATAACAATGCTGTATTTCTGAGCACAGAAAGTAGTGATAAAATGAAGTTATCATTTACATTTAGCTATAATTTTGATTGTCTTAAGATCATTTGTGTATGTGCGTGTTGTATTTGTACAGTTTGTATGTATTTTGTGTACCAATATGTTAGTTATTATATAATGAGAAAAGTGGGAGCAGCTCTTTCAAAAATAAGGTTGAAGGATGTAGAGTGGACTTTTGGAGGGACACGAGAGTATTGTGTGTGATTGTGTGAAGAGGCCTGAATGCACTTAGGAGGGAAAACTCAGTTTGCTGGAAACTCCCCATCAGAAAGTCAGAACTTAAACAACAGTTAAATTCTTCTTCAAAAATAAAAATCCTCATTGAAGGCAGATGGCATCATGACAATTGTTTCTGATAGTGCCCTCCCCCCCCCCTAAATTAACCATTTAAAAGATAAGGCAGTAGATCTGAAGGACGAAAAAGGTAGCAATTTTAAAGCCTTTGAAATGCCATATCTCAGCTGTTGAGACATATATTTAGGAGAATCCAGAGAAATGTACCATTACTGAGTAGAGCTGCTATGCAGTGTTATCTATAGTAACACCACACTGTGCTACATCAGTACTTTAGCTCATCACCAGTAATCTAGACAGCAGATTGCTTCAGAAGGTTTCAAGTATAAGCAACAGTTGTTTAGCCACTAGAGACCAGAGGATATGTTGGAAGTCTGTCCATGTATGGAGCAGGTCTTATAAGCCACAAGTTTGACATCTCCTTGGGGACAAGCTAGCTGCAAAGATGAGCCCCACCCCTGCTGAGAAGAGGCACTTTATAAAGTAAGATTCCCAAAGACAGCCCGGCACAGTACCTCTCTCTCCAGTAGAGATGGTAAGTGTACTTCTTGTGGGAAACCAACATTCTGATGGGAGAGCAGGGTATTTATCTGCATGAGGCTCCTAGCAAAAGGACTATGGTTTAAGGGAGTGTGTTGTGTTTGACGTAATTTTGAGATCTGAAGTATGAATGTTTGAGAGCCGTGACTTTGCAAAGAAAGGAAGTTTTAACTTACGTTTTGCTGATCTTCAGTGTGTATTTCAGAAGAATAACAGAGTAGCTGATATGATTATGCTTTCCTAGTTTAGGTCAAAGTTATTTTTTCGTCTGTTTTCAGGCTAGCAGAAAAACCAAGAAGAAGGAAGGTGGTGCCAAACGTGCTCAAAGAGCATCCTCTAATGTTTTCTCCAACTTTGAGCAGAGTCAGATCCAAGAATTTAAGGAAGTAAGACAAAACAGGAGTCATGTAGACATTCATGAACTGCCCTAGAGTCTAAACAGGGTGGGAGGGACTCTGATGTATGCCTTTGGTACAGACCCCGCTCCATATTATGTGAGGATATTCTGTGTCTTTGTCTCTGCCAAAGCAATGGTTTGAATGGTGTGCAGTGATATTTAACTTACAGCTTCTGCACTGAGCTCTTGGCTGGGTATAGGGTTGCTCTGTCTTGTCTACACCAACACAACCAGATCACAGCTCAATCTCAAAGGATTTTCCATGGTACATAACACAGAGTGCTCAGCAAGCAAACATGCAGTGGGGAAAGGTAGAAGAGCCAAGAAACAGGTACCATATGCACCTTCTCACTGCCACCAATAAGAGAAAGTTAAGCAATGGGAAAGTGTTAAATAATCAGACACACAGTATAATCACAAGTGCACTTAGATTATACTGTAATGTTTGCATCACGTTGTGCTACTGTGCTATGATGCTGAGATGCAACAAGAAAACACAGTGTCTGAACACTTTTGTGACTGGCTTCTGGGTCTCAGAGTCTGTTTAATGACCACTTGACTCTCCAGAAATTCAAAGTTGAAAAATACTGTTCTGGAAAATATTTATCACCCTAGTGGAAGAACTGTTTTTAAAAGAATTTGTATTCACTTTAAACTCATTATTGAAGGAGAGGGGTTTTCAGTTTAAAGTATGATTAGTGAACTAAAAAACTGAAATACGACAAGTAAAAGTTTAGCAGGCTGGGCATACACATTTTTCATGTAACTTCTTACTAAAGAATGTGTATTTATGTAAAAAAAACCATTAGGTGTAACAGTCCCCTCTCAATGTTAACTTTTATTGAGCACAGGTATACATGAAACTTTTCTAAAGCTACAATTAATACAAAACATGAATATATTATATGTATATTCATTCTGTTGTCTAGGCTTTCACATTAATTGATCAGAACAGAGATGGATTCATAGATAAAGAAGACTTGAAAGACATCTATGCTTCTTTGGGTAAGTACATTAGAGCAGAGATACACTTTGCCCTTAACTTCTATTGGAGCTATAGCATCTCTTCTAGAAAGCTATCCGGTCTTGATTTGAAGGCAGCAAGTAATGGAGAATTTACTGTATCACTGCCTAATTGGTTGCAAAGGTTAATTACTGTCACCGGTAAAAGAAACTGCATCTTCTAAATTTGTCTAGCTCCAGTTTCCAACTACTTAATCTGTTACACTTTTTTCTGCTAAATTAAAGAGCCATTTACAGTACTGTAAGGAGGAAAGTATCATGAAACATGCAAGCAAAAACTGAGCCATTTTGCATACTCTCCCTTTTAGCTTCTGCTGTTTTTTCGCGTTTACACCTGCAGGTTTGGTTGGCGCTCATGTATGCCACAGTGGTGCCTTATGCATACATCCCATAATCCCCTGTAATTGGAGGGAGTGATTTGTAGAACTACACAGCTTTATCAACTCCTTTTGACAGATTTTTGCAGAAGTCAACTACAACTGTTGAACTCTGTCCCTCACCATTACAAAGAGATTCCTACACTGGGCCACGACTGACTCTCTAGAACATGAGAAGCGCCGTGATACCAAAAGTCACTTAAAGCAGGGATTTTATTGAAAGAATTGTAGAAAGTTACAAAGCAAAAGAAAATAAATGGAAAGCTGCCTTGAACTCAGCCAGTACAAGTTGGTAAAGATGCCTAGAACCAAAGACTGGTGCTTTGTCTCTTACAAGTCCAAATAGGATGGATATTTCTAGACTGAAAGACCTTTCTCTTTAATTTAGGTAAAACAAATGTAAAAGATGAGGAGCTAGAATCCATGCTCAAGGAAGCCACTGGACCCATTAATTTCACAATGTTTTTGAATCTCTTTGGAGCAAAGCTACTAGGTAAGTTTAATAGTCAATAGACTCTTATTCAGAAGTTTCCTAGGGCATGTCTACGCTAGTACAGACTTATGTCGATCTTTGCTTGACTTACAGCCACTGCAGTAATTACTGTGAAAGCTGATGTCCAGACTACATTCCTTTGGTGTTGTGCATCCTCACCAGGAGCGCTTCCACCAACTGAAGAGCGACAGTGTGAGGGGCTGAGAGCCTGGGCAGCTGCCTAACGGGAGCCTCGCTTCCCCCCCACACTCTTGGCTCCCCACTCACAGAAAGCAGGAGGCAGCAGCCTGGACTTGTCAGCTCCTTGAGCAGGAAGCCAGATAGGTCCAACTGGCTGGGAGTGAGGATCTGGGGGCAACTGGTTCTAGCTGCTATGATTTGTCAATTTCCTAGCTGCATCATGGAGCCATGAATTCGACAAGACAGCAGACAGCCAATGCATCGCCCTAACTATACCAGTATAAGACTTACACCTCTCATGGAGGTGGAGTTATGATGTCGATGGCTCTTACATCAGTGGGACAGGGCTGTAATGTGTACACTCACGTAATTAGCTGGGTGTAAGCTGCCTTACATCAAGCTGTGTCGTATAAACCAAGCCTTAGTCTGAACCTCCCTCTTTGTCCAAATCCTTTTTAAAAAGACTTTAATAATTTACTTCAGCTTTACTGTTCACAGAACATTCTTAGGTTTGATCATTCTGAATGAGAGTCAAAGCTAATCTGCATCAGAGATGTCAATAAGTATTTTTCAATTGAAATGTCTGGGCACGTAGCAAGAGTAAGTCCTTACTCTGTGGAAATTGTGACGTGTTTAAAAATGAAATTAAACATGGACCAGCTGACATCTGCTAAAGATACTGTTCTATATGAGCTCCAAGTTTTGCAGAGTAATTCTTTAAGGTTTTAAGAATTTAATAGCTGCTTAAAGACAAATTTCTATGAAACTTGTAATGCCATTTGGAGACCATGGCAGAGTTTGCCTACCTACAGGGGTGGATCTAATTTCTCCCTAAAGTGTCCTGCAGTGCAACACTCTCTCCAGAGAAGACCCATCTATCCCTATTGTTGTTTCTTGGCTACCACTCTGCTTTTATAGCCATCCACCTCTTGTAATGTGAGGACTTCATAAAGCTTATTGGGATGGGGACAGACAGACATACATACACACACAATCCTTCACGCAAATACAGCAGCTACACATCAATATATAATAGCAGCTGGGTTAGACAACTAACAGTAAACCTGAGGTTATTTTTAGCTACCTGTTTTTTAAATTTTGGCCAAGCAACTCTAGTTTTCATTCTTTTTATTATTAATTTATATAATAGAATTTTCTCATAGTGCTTAGGATATCAGGCTGATTTTCAGAGCAACAATGTCAGTATACTGTGGCCTGACTATATGGAAATTACATTGCTGCCTGATATTACAGAGCCCAATATAATTCAGTGAAGTCATATTGATCAGTAAACATTCTTGAAAGGTCATAGACTAATTTCCATCTGAGCAGCCACCAGAAATAAAAAGACAACCTCTAGTTGAGGACTCAAAGAGGATATGAATATACCTACTATTCAGAAGAGCCAAACTCCCCTTCTTTTAAAAAAACAGTCTTAACATTGTCACTCCCCCATAAAGTTGCTCAGTCAGCATCATTTATTCCCACAGAATCAGAATCATTTTTTCCTCCTCGAACACACTTTTCTATAGCTTTCACATGCTGCTATGCACAGAGACTATATTTACAGTTCCATAGAACCACTGTACTACCAGGTGTGAGTACTTATTTTGTGAAAGGTTTTAACCAGTAGAAAGTGTGTTATCAACTGACCCACACTGGCATCTGTTGTTTTTTGCAGGGGTGGATGGGGAAGAGACTATACTAAATGCATTCAAAATGTTTGATCCAGATGGTAAAGGACACATTCACAAAGACTAGTAAGTTTACTTCTGTGTATTATCAAGCCTGTCGAGAATCATGATAGTCACATTATAGTAGACATTTGAGATCTAAGTGTTTGGATTACGTTAAGTATTAACTGATATATTCCTTCCTTTAATCAGGTCACTAGCTTTATAATTTTCAAATTACTGCATACTGTTAAATTAATGAACTGTAGGAACAAAATGCAAGACCTGAGCGAATGACTGTAATAATCCCTAGGAATTGTTCTCTCTATTGAAAAACCTTGTATTTTACTGTGTCAGAAAGTCTGTGTTCCATATATTTGTCCAGTGGACAATACTGAATTAATGGTCGTATATTCAGTGACAATAAAACTATTGAATTCCTTGTCCTGCAGGGATAAAGTATGACACATGTACATTCCATTTGCTTCTATGGAGCATGCCTGAGACATGTTTTGTTTTTAAAATATTAGCCTTTATATCAAAGCTATTTGCCTAGGAAGCTTTTTAAACATTTGCAGATTGGTGTTTAGTTTTTCACTAATAGTCAAGTTCCTACAAGAGGCGCCCACCTGAGAGATGCCTCGCCCTGGTGGAGCATGTTCCCAGTGGAGGCCATGTTCAAAGGATCCCACCCGCGGGCCGCATGTTGAGCCCTGTGTAAACCCAAACCGCATCGCGAACCGCAAACGGGCTCCGAGCCACATGTGGCCCAAGGGCTGCGCGTTGAGTAGCCCTGCTTTACATCCTTCTTGATTCTGTACTGAGCAGCAGCATGACTTTTCCAGCCAGATGCAAGAGTTCTTTTCTTGCTCCAACAGATAGGCGATCCTGACTTATTCTTCCTAGGGCTTGAGTGCACACAGTTTTGCAGTAGTTTAACTAGATCTGTATACCAAGTTAAATTGTTGTGACCCTCCATATAAAGTGTTATAGTTGTATACTTAAGTTTTTGTATCAGGATAGCTTGTGCCTGTAAATTTACAGACTCAAGTTAACCCTATATTAGCCATGTTTAAACCTGCCTAGGAATAGCCACACAAAGTTGTGCTGTTTTAATTAAAGTGATATTAAATTGCACTTTAAAGCACTACAGGTTTGTATGGGACCTAACTCTAAATGTAAGGAATGAGTAAAGAACAGCTCATGTGGACTGTTAGGACTCACTGTAGGCAAGAGTCCTACCTACTTTCTGCTCAAAGAACACTCACTGTCCTCCCTGACTTCTACTTACTGAGCTAAACTGACCCCCGGGCAAGTGTTATCTAGTTGGGAACTAGCCCACTGTCTCAGAGAAGTAAATTTAACTACTCAGTAAATAGAACGGTAACAGATTTTTTTCCTTCTAATTTAAAATATTCCCAAGGCAAGGTCACAGATAAAGTATTCTAGAATTATTTCATTGTTAGAAGCTATGACTGTGTTATCCTCACTTAAAGTATCATCCAACTAATCGCTTGGTGTCTGTTTTACCTAGCTTAAAACGCATGCTGATGACACAAGCTGACAAATTCACTGCTGAAGAGGTTTGTATGCTACTCTATTTGTCACTCAAGTACATGTTGGTATGTAATGTCAGCTGCTTCCTAGAAAGGCAGCAACACTATTCTGTTATGTAGGTATAAAATAACCTTTCAAGTAAGAGAAATGAGTTTTGAAATCTGTTTACTCACTTGCCCATTGTTACAACATTCATATTTTTTAAAATAATTCAGAAATTGAAATTGTAAAAACACTGCTTTTGTAAAACATTGTTCTTTTTCTTTTAAGGCTGTACAGATAGACCAGATGTTCAAGAGTTCCCCAATTGATGCCGCAGGAAACTTGGACTACAAGTCTTTCTGCTACACTATCACACATGGAGAGGAAAAGGAAGAATAAAGAGTGCACTCTTGTTAACTGCACTAAATTCTCACATTGGGTTAATAAATAAAAATTGAACTAATTTTTTATTTTTCAGCTGAAGCGATGACTCAATTACCCCTACACTGGGGGACAATTTTGACTTGAAAGTTCCTTGAAGAGGGAAGAGAGTTGGCTTTAGATTGGCCTTTGGAAAATGGAGCCCTACCCTGAATGGTTAATTTGAATTAAGTATTGTAAACTGGGTTATAAGCAGAAAAGTGCTCTCTCTGGAAGGGCATCTTAAATCTTTGCTAGCCACCGCTCTTTCACTATAATTGGGTTCAGATCAAAAGTGTTATTTAATCCACATGATTATGTGCTGCATTGAGTTTATCTAGTTGAATTTACTGCTCTTTCATAGCAGGAACAACATCTGTTTGTCTGACCTGCAGTGTGCTGGAGATCAGACTAGATGATCCGTCTAGCCTTAAAGTCTATGAACCCACAAGTTGAAACCATTTTATCTTTAAACTAATTCATCTAGTCTCACAAGAGAGTCAGGATTTCTTCAAATGTAGTGAAAATTGTGTTAGCATCCATGTATGACTGAACACAAATACTTTTCTGCATAATACCAGGTTTGTATGTCCTCCTCTCTGATGCGCAAGTAGATTTCTTACTAAAGGCCATGAATTCAGAAACATATAGGAGCACATGGTTCTAAGTTATTTAACATGGGGGACCAGAGATACTTGGCTGAAGTGGGAAAAGAATGGATTAAAAATATAAAATGCACTTTACAGATTAAGCCTCTGGCCAAAAAAAATTAGTATTCCAAGTAGATGTATCCCATTAAATGAAGTAAGATTCCAGTTTACAGATGCGAACATTAAAGATGGAGCAATAATATTTTTCAAGAAAATTAAAACCAAAAACACATAGCATTGCTTTGATTTAATCTGAACAGAAATAGGTTAGATGTTTTTATTTTTAACTGATCTGATATTATTACAAATGTCAATTGCATAGCAGCATTCAAACCAGAGACAAAACAGAACTATAACTGCTTTTATCAGATCTCACACTCAACAATGTGCAACATAATACACAACCTCACTATAAACCAGATAGAAAAACCCAAACAGAAGTCCTCAACAAACTGATATTCCCTAAGACACACCCCTTCAGAATAGGGTGCATAACACTAACTGCTACATTTTGGTACTAAAATGCACCATACTAAAAGGAGAATGCTTTCAAGGCCATTTAAACTGCATTGATTTGTTCAAATTATTTTCAGTAAGATTTATTCTGCTCATTTGCAATTGTGTTATTAAAAGCAAACATGATTCCTCAGATAGCTGTAAATAGAGAAGTATCAGGCACGGACATTTCACAATGAAAGCTAATGACTATGTAGCCTGGAGACTTCTTCAGGGGAAAGGTGTGCCTGCTGCACCTGACCCAAAGCATCAACTCAGTTCCCCACATAGAAGAGGGTGAGGGAATCAACAAAACAGGGTTCTCTTCCACCTAGGCACTGCAACTCCTCCTACCACGTGAGTTCCTGTTGTTCTCTCCTGGGGCTGTGCAGCCAATGGGAGTTACCATACTCATTCCCTGGGCAGCCTGGAGACAGGGAAAGGGTGGTCCCTAAATCATGTTTCCAGCTGTAGACTGTTGCCAAGGAGTTCGCCCTGGGGGCTAATGGACTTGCACTGCTGGCTGGCCACCGTTTCAGAACTGAAGCCAAAGCTACTTTGGGTCCCACAGCTCATACATAGGTGCTGACTCCTTGGGTGCTCCAATGTGGGAGGATCCGTGGAAAAAATTAGTGGGTGCTAAGCACCTCTTGCCCCCAGGACCTCCTCTCCACACTTCATGGGTGGCCCCTGCCCATCAATTTCTCACCCCCTCTCACCACAATCAGCTGTTTCATGGCATGCAGAAGGCTATGGAAGGGAGGGGGAAGCGTGGGGACAGGGCACCGTTAGGGGAGGGGGGAGAAAGAAGCGGAGCAAAGGTTAAGGGGGAAGGGATTAGGTGGGTGCAGGATCTGGGGCAGAGGTGGGGTTGAGCATCCTCAGGACCCAGAGGAAGTCAGTGCCTGTGACTCTGAACATTTCTTCTCCAAAGGAGGTGACTATCGCTGATTCACAAACGATAACAAGTCACACATATCTGGTCACGTTAGGAAATATTTTAAAACATATGACTGACTAAAATGAATGTGTGTTTGCGTTAGGGTGATCTGGAAAGACTTTGTACAGGCCATACTGAAAATCGAGGCAGGCTGATGATCCGTATGGGTAGGACAAAGGTCTTCTGAGGATTCCCTCACCTGGATGCCAAGATGGAGTGTCCTTTACAGTTTCCAGCCCCCACCCTCTATGTTCGATAGCAGCCCAGGCAGCTTTCAACCATTCTGCTGGTGGTTGCCATGCTAGAGACTTCTATTAGGTCTGAGAGCGCAACAGGTTAGTGCTTCTTATCTTCTAACGCGTTTCGAATGCATGACCTCTGCAGTAATGCTTCAAGCAGCAGTTTTTCCCTCATGGGTAATCTGTTAAGGAGGGAGATCGTGCCATTCTCTGGTTCCTCCACTCATCTAAGGAACGGAAATACTTAATTTCTAAAGAAAGGGACATGAGTTTCTTCAGCTGTAAAATTACAGATGCCCCAATTATGGCCAACATAGACTTTAGTATAGACCAAAGTCTCTTAGAACAACACAAGTCGAATCAGAAATAGTGTTACAATTTCACATTGGAACAT